TTTTTAAAGGGTAAATTTTATGGATGTGGTTATATCTCAATAAACCTGTTATTTTTAAATGAAATTCCTAGAACTGAAAATTCCAATAATCAAAAAGAAAAATTCATTGAATGAGCTTAACAGCACCTGGAGAAGGCAGATAAAGGATCAATGAAGTAAAGGGTAGATCAATAGAAATTATCTAATCTAGAGAATAGAGAACTATAGATTGAAAAAATAATTAACAGAGCCTCAGGAACCAATGGGACAATGTCAAATAGACTAACATATATGTAATTGGTATTCCAGAAATAGAAGAGAATGAAAATATAGCAGAAAAATAATGTGACTGAAATCATCCCTAAGTTTGATAAAATACACAAACTACCAGATTCAAGGTCAGCAAAATTGAGCAAGAAAAAATACAAAGAAAATTCACAGGTACAGAATAGTTCAACTGCTCAAAACCAAAAAAAAATCTTGAAAGCTACCAGATTAAGATGGTATTATACATGGATAAAAGAATGAATATAATAAAAGTATAAATTAAGACTGACCTCATCCTATCTAATGAAAGAGTAATATGCAAATTAACCATCACTCCACTATACCCACAAGCCACTCCCACCATCCAATCAGGAGCAAATATGCAAATAAGCCCAATCAAGATGGCTATGGCCATAGAGAGCAGGAGAGAGGCTTGGGTTTCCCCAGCAATGGAGGAAGCCTAGCTTTCCACCTGCCCTTACCAGCTTAAGCCTTCACTCAAGGCTATAAAGTTTCAATGATAAAAGATACATAAATCCAAACAGAAATGGTTGAAGCCACAGAGCTGGAAAGAGCAGGAGGCTTGGGTTTCCCTGGTGATGGAGAAAACCAAGCTTTCCGCACACCCTAGCCGCCCAGTTCTCTACTTAAGGCTACAAAGTTTCAAATAGAAGTCACAACATAAATGGCTGCCACCACAGAGCAAGCAGAAGGCTTGGCTCTGCTTTAGGCTACAAAGTTTCAATTGTAGAGATAAATAAACCCCAGATACCAGGGCCTCCACTTGGGTTACCAGGGGGTGTGGCCAGTTTGCAAACCACCACACGCCCCTTGCTCTGCCTCCCCATGTCCCAAGGAAACCCCCACCCTGATCTGGGACACCCTTCAGGGCAAACCAGCCACTCCCCCCATGCACCAGGCCTCTATCCTATCTAATAAAAGAGTAATATGCAGATTGACCATCACTTCAACACACAAGATGGCTGCCCCCATTTGGTCAAAGATCCTGCTCCCATGTGGATACAAGATGGCCACCTCAAGATGGCAAGCAGGGGAGGGCAGTTGGGAGGGATCAGGCCTGCAAGGAAGGGCATTTGGGGGCAATCAAGCCTGCAGAGTGACCAAGCCAGCAGAGGAAGGAAGTTGGGGGTGACCAGGCCTGCAGGGAAGGGAAGTTGGGAGGGACCAAGGTCTACAAGGGAGGGCAATTAGGGGTGACCAGGCCTGAAGGAGAGGGCAGTTAGGGGCAAACAGGCTGGCAGGGGAGCAGTTAGGCATCAATCAGGCTGGCAGGGTAGTGGTTAGAGGATGATCAGGTTAGCAGGAAGAAGCAGCTAGGGGCAATCAGGAAGGCAGGCAGGTGAATAGTTGGAAGCCAGCACTCCTGGATTGTGAGAGGGATGTCCAACTGCCCATTTAGGGGGCAGTCAGACATCCCTCGAGGGGTCCCAGATTGGAGAGGGTGCAGGCTGGGCTGAGGGACACACACCCCCATGCACAAATTTTGTGCACCGAGCCTCTAGTCAGAAAATAAAGACCAATAGCCGAAACCGGTTTGGCTCAGTGGTAGAGCGTCAGTCTGCAGACTGAAAGGTCCCTGGTTGGATTCCGGTCAGGGGCATGTACGTTGGTTGTGGGCACATCCCCAGTAGGGGGTGTGCAAGAGGCAGCTGGTCGATGTTTCTCTCTCATCGACGTTTCTAGCTCTCTATCTATCTCCCTTCTTCTCTGTAAAATCAATAAAATATATTTATTTTTAAAAAAAGAAAATAAAGACCAATAAGGTGACACCTAGAATGCTAAAAGGAAAAAAATAACTATCAACCCATTATTCTGCATCCATCCAATGAAATTATCATTCAAAAATGAGGGTGAAATAAAGATATTTTTCACCAAAATGAAAACTGAAAGAATCTGGTAGCAGTAGAACACTGCAAGAAATGTTAAAGGGCATTCTTCAGGCTAAAGAGAAATGATAACAGGGAAATTTGAATAAGAACTGGTCCTGATGGGAGTGTCTGATATCCCTTTTTTTATAGGGGAGGAAAAAGAGATTGAGAGCCACTGGTTCAAAAGGACTATTAGCCATTGGGTTTTCTATATTTTGTAAGCCACTACTTCTCAAATTAGAGGTTTAACTCATTAATTGGTTATCTAATAGTTTGCACACAGCATTTAAAATATATATAATAGGGCAGAACGAACCAGAAAAGAATACAACAGAAACACCCTTTATAAAACAAAATCAGATACAATATAATAAATGCCCATGTGATATAATATACTTTCTAAAAACCTACTAATAAAACTATAGCTCATTATGTTGGGCAACGTCTTATATAAATATCACAAATATCACTGTGACATTCTTCTTAAAATTTAATGTTGATTAACTAGTCTCCTTTTATTAGACAATGAGATCCCTGTAACTTATTGTCTCTTCTCTGACCTGCCTGTCAGGGAGCTCATAGATAAATTTTTACTCCATTACCGTACCTATTCTTAGTCTAGGTCTTGTGATATAATAATATGCTCCCAATCTTTCATTATTTGACAATTGTTCATTTATCCTTGTTTTAAGTTTTATTATATCTGAGTTTTTCTTCTTACAAAATGTTTGATGACTAATAAATAAAAATATCTGATATAGTAAAAATCATGATGGATTAAAAAGTAATTAGGGAAAATAATAATTACCAAAATATTAAAAACAAGTAGTTTTTTTTATTTTATGTATTTGTATTTCATTTTCCTCTAATGAATGTGTATTTTTATTTTTTGTAAAGCTAATTTTAATTTGCTTATGACTAATAGGCATCAGAAAAAGTGGGCTTTAGCTGAAACCGGTTTGGCTCAGTGGATAGAGCATCAGCCTTCGGACTGAGAGGTCTCAGGTTCGATTCCAGTCAAGGGCATGTACTTTGGTTGCAGGCACATCCCCAGTGAAGGGGACGAGGGGTGTGCAAGAGGCAGCAGATCGATGTTTCTCTCTATCCCTCTACCTTCCTCTCTGTAAAAAATCAATAAAATATATTTTTTTTTAAAAAGAAAGGAAAAGTGGGATTTAGTCTTTTGTCAGTGAGCAAACCCAAAGATATATGGTCATGTGCTTTGTTCTCATTGTTTGCTAAATAGAAAAAAGATCTAACACGAGTTACCTGGGTACTGGCATCCTTTAGCAATTTTAGCAGAAGTTAACTTAGATGGAGAGTTGCCAGCCAGAGAAAAATAAATTATTTTCTTAAAGTTTCTGGAAGGAATTGCAAGGTTGTCAGTAGGAGCCAAAGAAAGATTTCTACTACATCTTAAAATACCAGAAATATGGACCGGGCTAGTTGCATTGCTGTGGCCCACACAAGTCCAGGCTTGACCTCACCTCCTCCTTCCTATATCCATCAATAGTGCATTAACATCATCTTAGAGTATCAAGAATGGAGAATGTAAGGTCTGGACAGGCAGGTGTGTGCCTTACCCCACAATGGAAGTTGGCAGAGAAAGGTACGCATGGAAACTGGACCAGGACCTGAGGTTGGTGTTTGGAACCCACCATACCACTCACACAGCCTCTTCACTCAGCTAGCGAAATGGTACAGGTTGCCACACAGAGACAATTCAGAGAGCAGCGGAGGTTGCTGGAAAGGGCCATATTGGGTCCTTGGCTCCCAAAATGTTGAGTGCATGGCAAGACACAGTGAGAGGAGCAAATGGTGCTCCCCCTCAGCAGCTGGGGAGGGGAAACAGACAGGTGGGCATGAGCTCTGATGCCTGGTTCCAAGAACAAAGTCCAGGCAAGTATCGATAGAAGACTACAGGGGATCACAGTCCTCTGGGAGGGCCTCAACCTTGTCTAAGATTTTTTTCCCTCCACCTGCCACTTGCCTTTGATTTAGAACTAACGTTGCTCAATGGGACTTCTGTCCTGGACCAGGGCCCACGTGGTTCCTGGAGGTATCTCTCCATGCCTGTCACAAAGGACTATGAGTGACTACAGGCCCTTCGGCTTATTGTTCATCCCAACAGAATGGGCACCTCTCCACGTCTCGTCTCTCTCAAGAACCACCAGAAACAAGGCAGCCAACGAAGTCCCGGTTCCAGGCCACATCAATCCTGCCCTCGCACACCTGTCTGCTCAGTATCATTTGGGAATGGAGGCAGATAATGTCCTCCTCCCCCCAAACTCCATCTCAGTTTGCTTTACTTCTAAGAAAAACTCTTAGGAGGAAAGAAGTGCCTGGGTTTCCCTGCACCCCGAGATGCCAATGCCCTCCCTGAGGGCGGGTTGGTTAAGGGCTGGAGGAGACTTCCTGAAACTGGAGGGCCATGCCAGGGATGCCCAAGTCAAAATGGTCAGGGGTGAATCCTAGCCTCTGTCCTCCGCAGACTGTTTCTAAGTTAAACTCTGCTAGTTGGTTGCCTATTCTCAACACTTCACATCCAACGACTTGTAACAAGGAAAGGAAAGCTCGCAGAGGTAGGAATCAAGTAGTCCATCACCCCAAAAAAGCCCCAGTTCCAATCCTCTGCATCTTGCCCTACCTTTTCTCTGCTCCACAGAACTTGCTCAGGCGTTCTTCTGCTCCCCTACCCTGACAGGGAAAAAGATCAGCTCCCCTCACTCACCACCCTCTCTCTCTCCAGGTTCACTTGAGGTCACCAATCCAGAAGGGCAGGCGTTAGGATGGGTCTCCTTCACACCCAGCCCCTCTCTGTCCCACAGCTTGCCCAGGACCTGGGTCCCCAGCAGGAAGACTCACCTTGCAGCCCAGGGGTGGCCATGGTGCTGGCACACAGGACTCCCAACACGGACTGCGCCGCTCTCGGGACAGACCAGAGGCAGACCCAGCACCCGCTGCTGGACAGGCTTATTCCGCCGAAGGCTAATTCCATCTCGGCTCAGCTGGGTCTGGACGTGCCCGCCCCTAGCCTATTGCCGTCTGCTCCTCCCCAACCCCTCCCCAGGCCACCCGGCAGGCGCCACCGGAGGCAGAGCGGGCTCTCCCGCTGAGCCCGGAGCGCAGGAGCACCCGCAGTGCCACGTGGGGAGGAGCGCGTCCATCCTCAGCGGGGTTGCATTTGGGACACCTGGTTAAAGGAGCGGAGGGGCCATACAGTAAGTGCTGCCCGCACCTCTTGGCCAGGGGGAGGTGCCTCACAGCCTGGGCTGGGTGTGAATATTCAGCCGGATTATCTGGTGAGCAGTCGGGTTGATTAGTTTCCAATCCCACCCGCAAAGCCTCCTTCCTGCAGCCCAATCCAGGGAAATGCCTGGAGTGGAGTGGAATGGGGCGGGGCGCCACCCTGCTCACCTTCCTTCACTCAACACCACCACCAGCAGTCCCCACCTTTTTTTGGCTAAAAGGAGCAGGAATCAAGGACTAGGTACACAGGGACAGGCAGGACAGGCAGAGGGGCTGTGGGTTGTAGAAAGCTTCCCTGAGAGACCCTAGGACGGGGTTGAGGAGGGAACCTGTGGAGGCCCGGTCCCAAAGAACCAGAGGACTGCCATCTCTCTGGAACAGTTAGGTACCTGGCTGTGGGCAAAGGGGTGAAGAAAAAAGGCTTTGGAAAGTCAGTGATTTTCTTGAGAAGGGTGGGGACGGGGTTAATTCAAGGCCATGCGTGTCTCCACTTCTAGACACCAACCTGGTTTCCAGCAATAAACTGTCCCCATGTGAGCATCTTCATTAAGCAAAAAAAAAAAAAAAAAAAAAAAAAAAGTAAAAACCCTCTCTTCCAGATAACCTACTGCAATATTTTAAAACTAATTATTGTTATTTTTTAAAGCCATTTTTTCTTATATTTATTATTCTGTTCAGGAAGATGGAATCTACAATTACAAGTGTCCTGGGGATCAACAAGTTCCTGAATACATAGGGCCCGGGAAATGAAAAAGTACGATGTGGAAGTCGAGTGTGCTATTTATGACCATGACCTTTCAGTGTGAAGAATGTTATCTCCCCGCTCTATATGAGGAGCCTGTAGCAGTAAAGGGGAGCAGACCGCACAGAGTGAGCCAGGGGCAGAGCAAAGGGAAACCCAGAAGATTTACGTCCGGATCCACGGCTTTCTTCTGCTCTCTAGGAGTAATCGTGGCCAATGTTTATTATACAGGACTTCCTCTTCCTCGGGCACCCTTTAACCCACAGTAGTAACTTTCCTTCCAACGACAATTCTGTGAGGTAATTACTGCTAGTATACCCATCTTATAGATGAGTAAGACAGGGGTATAAAAAAAGGTCAAGCAACTTACCTCTAAGGGCATGTGGGATCCCAAAGTAGGCAGCCTGCTCCAGAGTCTGTGCTCAAAACACTTTGCTGTTCAGCTTCTTTCTCTCCCAAACAGTGCCCCATTCCCATTCGCTTCCAGGGACCTTCTCCTTGTCTTTTCAACACCAGGACAAGTGGGAAACTTTGCACCATAGTTCCTTTATTCTCTTTCTTCTCTCCCTCCGGCACTTTCTTACCCCCTAGTCTCTGTACACTCTCTCCTTGACACTATCTCTAAGACTCTGACTTAGAGGGACTGTCTCCTCTGGTCAGAGGATGAGCAAAAAACAGTCCCTGAGACCAGAGGCAGACCGTCTTCTTGAAGAGACCTGCAGAGTAAGAGAAGTTGTGAGACACCCCAACTACCTCCACCAGTTTCCCTTTCTGCATCCTTTTTATACTGCTCCCCTTTTTTTTTCTTAAATCAAAATATGCAGACTTTCTGATTCAGTTGTATGTTTGTTTGTTTGTTTGTTTGTTTTTATTGATCGTGAATTATCATATCAGTAAGTAGGAGGAGAAATTCATGCTCTGATGGGTCAGGAAGTTGGAAAATTGACACCTTATGCTAAATAGGCAGCCTCTCAGCTGAGTCTCTCAGTAGAGGCTGAATGCCTCCAATAACACCTCATGCCCAGGTGCAGTGTTAGGCGATCGGTCAGGAGAGAGACAGGTGATGCTTTGCACTGGATCTGGTTTCCTAAAGAGACCTTAGAGGCTGCTCAGGGTTGGAGGTAGGATGATGGATGGAGAGATGACAACCTTTGAATTATTGAACAGTTATATAAAACGTCTATCCATGCTTCCTTCCCTCTACTCTACTAAACTCCCCACTAAAACTGTTTAACACAATCTGGGCCATTTACTTGTAGTGTATATTCCCTTGAGCTTGGTCCCCAGAAGTAATGGAAATAGTTGAGACCTAGAAATGCAGCAGTCACTGGTTCCCACGATAGTATGGGCTGAATCTGTAAGTAGCAGGATGGGATGGCCCTGGAGTTCTTGCCTACAGGTCAAGAACCTGAGTTCACAACTGGCCCTGCCACCCAGCTGCGTGACCTTCAGCAAGTCACCGGAGTTCTTTGAGCTGCTTTCATCCTCTGTGAAGGGGCAGGGGAGAGGCAGCAGGTTAGATAATGTCTAAATCCTTTCCAGCTCTATCATTCTTTCAATGAGTTGAGTCTTTCTTGGGTTAAAAGGATCTGGAAGGAAGATTCATTCTCCATCAAATTCCTATCGCAAATCTAGATCTTCCCTTTGTCTCATGGAGAAAATACTCACTAGTTTCCATCATCTTGCTAGCATATACATGTACACTTTTCTCATAAGTTTTAAGGAAAGATGGGATGAAGTTTGGTGTTATCTGCACCTCTTTTCCTTCCAAGAGGATGCCTGGAGCAGGCAGGGCTTTGGCATCCAATATGTGACCTCAAAGAAGTGTAGTTCCTACCCCTCAGAACAAAGAAAATGCCCTGTGCTCTGATACTGGTGATAGAAATATTTCTCCTTTTGAGCCTTGATGTCACTATTTTTATTCTTATATTATTATAGGGCAATTACAGTTATCCCAGACTTATCTTTCCAACCCTACAAGTAAGATTCACTTCCTGTTTCCCAGATGAGGAAGTTACATCTGAGAACCACTAATGGGCTTATTTGAAGAGTAGGGGCCTTATGTGGAACCTAGGTCTGCCCCAGATCTGGTGCTCACCACCCACCCATCGTGACCTGTGGGAATGGAATCATGTTCCAGTATCTGCCAGCACCCTATCAGCAACCCCCTCCATCTCAGCACCTTTCCTTTTCACGGGTACCACAGAGGAGACTCAAGAACTTAGCTCAGAGAAACCCTTGCACACCTGGCCACAACCCTTCTCTATTATAGAATGCCAGTCATGCTGGCGATAGCCATGTCTATCTTAGCAGCAGCTCCAAGGCCCACCTTTTTGCTCTGCTCAAAGTCCCAAGATTCAGAAACTGGAGAGCTCAGTGTTCCTGAGCAAATCCCTTTTATTTCAAGCCATTGGGCTGAGCTTCTGAGGAGGCCTACCTCACACTCTCCTCTCCTCTCTGCACTGCATGGAGGCAAAGGCACCACTTTTTCCCAGGTTGACAGTGCTTCCCGCAGACTCTGGGGCTACAGTGTTTTCAGGTGGAACCTGAGTTTCCTCCTTCAGAACCAGTCTCTGAACTCGCTCAGCCTACAGTTGTCAGGTCCCCCTGGAGGACACAATGAACCATTGCATTAGCCTTTTGCAAGATGAGAGATTGGCTTTTATTGTGGGCCCGGGAGGGCATGAGAGCAGAGGATACAGGGGACCAGGCAGCACTCTGGCTGGTTGGGAAAGGCAGGTGGCATCGGGTGTCCATGGCAGGGGCCTCACTTGGTGCACTTCCTGGGGGAGCACTTGCACTGCATGGCATTGAGGACCTCATGGTAGACAATGGAGCCGTTGGTGCAGCGCAGGGGCACCTGCATGGGCTCTGTCCGCGTAGGGGAGCAGCAGGAGCACTGGTCCTGCACATCCTCCGTTTCGATGGAGTACAGTGCTTTGCTGGCACATTTACCCTGAAGTGGGACAGAGAGGGACAGGACATAGTGATGGTGCAGAAGCCTGGGTTGTGCAGGACTCAGAGGCAGCCTGCTTCCCCTACCTGTCCTCCTCCAAGTAAGGCAGGCCTGGCCTCCCCCAGAAAACCCAGGATAGTGGGGCAATTTGTAAAGGTAAGTCTCAGGGAAGTCCTCTGAGATCCCCTCTGTCCCTATGGTGTCATCACACCCAGATTCCTCTAGCTGCAATTTCTATGCATGTTTGATACAATAACCCCAACCCCACTTTCATTCTCTTTGAAGGACTTGTTGAATCTTCCCTCTGGGGTCAAAGTTCCCTGTTACTTCAATAAAACATTTGATTTCACATAAAATGATTCCAATTCTACCCAGCCAGCATGGCTCAGTAGTAGAGCGTTGACCTATTAACAAGGACCTGGTCACAATTCAATTTCTGGTCAGGGCACATGTCCAGGTTGTAGGCTAGATCCCCAGTAGGGGTTGTGCAAGAGGCAGCATATCAATGATTATCTCTTATCATTGGTGTTTCTATTTCTCTTTCTCTCTCTTTTTCTGTCTGAAATCAATACAAATACAAAAATATTTTTTAAATGCTTACAGTGCTTTTCAGTTCTCCTCCCTGTGAATTTTCCATATCCTTCTGAAATATAACTAAGGAGATATCTCCCAAATAAGGAGAATCCCCTCTCCATGGAGGCCTCATTGAAGTCAGGGGCCCTTACCTGGCAGTAGTGAATGTCCACTTCCTCTTCGGATTTACAGCTTCCCACTTTGACATACTGCAGCCTGGCAGTGATATCCTTGCAATCAGGCTCCTCACCTATGGGACAGGTGAGAGATGGGACCCAGGCCTGGCTGGGTTTTGTAGAACACTCCCAGCCCATTTCCCTCATGGGGCTGGAAAACAGTGTCCAAATCACCAGAGCCAGCCACAGAG